ACACACACACACAGATATCAACGGAATGTGCCACGAATGCGACCGGTGAATCCTCTGGCCAGCTCACGACAGATTTCAAACTTCTCGGAGCTCATTAAATCTGACTGTTGAGGTTCTCGGTAAGGAACATTGAGTGACTAATAGGTTCGACTAATTCGAACAGCAAAAGGAAGAATTGGCTTTGAACATCCACGCTACTGTTTACACAAGGGTTAGCGAATGTGTACAACAAACTTCAATTGTTCACGTTCGTTTAATCAGCAATTGCACACTCTCACCAACGGGCACAAAACAACAAACCTCAATTGTTCACGTTCGTATAATCAACAACGTCCGCACACCAAACAACGGCGAGCGGACTGGCGAACGGCTCAGTAGCGTGGGTTGCGGTCCTCCGTTCCGACGACGGTCTCGTGATTCCCATTGAACGTGCGATCACACGGAACTCATGAGAAAACAAGTCAGGGTAGGCTCAGCAAACGGGACATGAACGCGCATGGGTGAGTTGGTCAGCAGCGCACATTCACACACAGACACACATGCCAATACACAAGTGTCGGACAGGACCGCCTCTGCGGCGAGGTGAGTGGTGGGTACGGATAAGTAAAACAACTGGAGATCAACAGTACCTGGGCGGAGTAAGCAAATCAATGGGGGAATTATCATAGGTTCAAGGTATATTCAACACTAACTAACTTATTTCTTATTTAGAAACTAATTGGTGTTACGTCCGCCACAGTAAACAGTCATTCGATTATGTACTTGGTGTTTATCAGAGACTTAGCTGAAGTTCGCCTGAAACTCTCGCTTGAAATAGCTCTCAGTAACATAATAAAATGGAGTTACTTAAGAAATGTGCTTGATTGTAATTCATGGGTTAGGATTCAGAAATCTGAAAGCTGCATGGCACCCGCCAGAATATCTGGATGCCACGTGAGTAATGTTGAAACATGTTGAGACTAGGCTCCCCCTTACTCACCGTCGACTCGGAAACTCGTCGACGAAATGTGGATTCATCAAACAAACTTGTCGATCGTCTCTCTCGGTTAGGGAAGTAGTTCCCTGTAGATGACAGTTTGACTTCATTCAAGTCCGAAACCTTCTTCCCACTTACTGAGTCACCATCTAATATCTGAAAATCCAGACATTCTACTTCTTGTCGTTTCCCCATTTCTTCATACCGTTTTCAGTTATTGGTTTTTAAGTTTTGAAACGAACTACTTAGGTTTAACCTCTTTCATGCGCGTCCAAGGCACTGGTTTGCGTCCTTGGGTTTTGAAACTTCAGAGTCAGTCACGAATTGCGCTTGATCTCGTGGGC